CTCTCCGGGGGCCCCCAGCCGGGACTCAGGAGAGCACTGAGCTCAGACTCCATCCTTGGCCTGGCCCCCGACACCAGGGCGGCCGCCCCCGCTCCAGAGCTGAGGAAGGTGAACCGCATCCACCCTGACGCCTACCAGCCGTACCTGAGCCCGGGGACCCCCCAGCCAAGGTTCCCAGCTTTCCACGCACGGGGCCAGCCTGGCGGTCTCGCTGCAGACGAGGCCAAGGCGGTGGCAAAGGCCGCGGGGTCTCCGAGGCATCTCTCGGAATCCTCTAGAAAACCCTCAGGCACAAAGCAGGAGTCCTGGAAGCCCTCAGGGGCACCCCCACCAGCCAACAGGGGTGTCGTGCGATGGGGGTACTTCCGCCTGCGTCCCCTGCGGTTCAGGGTCCCAGACGTGCCCCAGAAGGCCGAGACGCCCCGATCCTGGGGCTGGGAAGTGGCTGGGGCCCCCCCTCTGCGGCTCCAAAGGTCCCAGTCCTCTGAGCTGCTGGAGCGGGAGGTGGAGAGCGTCCTGAGGCGGGAGCAAGAGGTGGCGGAGGAGCGACGCAATGCCCTCTTCCCGGAGGTCTTCTCCCCGCCGCTGGACTGTGACCCCGACTCCAGGAGCTCCTCCCGGGCTTCGGGTGAGGAAGGGCCGGGCGGGACGGCTGCTTGGTCTGGTCCCGGAGACTGGAGCAGAGAAGGGTGGGGAGGGGGAGTTGGGGGGATCGAGAGGGACTGAGCGTGGAGGGACGTCTGGAGGACTTTGTCCACTCCCCCAGTTGGCTGGTCTCTCTGCCTGTATGTTCCCGGAAACGGTAGATTTTGGAGAGAGATGTCCACTTGGCACTGTGGCGTTTGCTTTATGGATTTGAAGGTTTTGTTATTAGGCGCATAAAAGGTTTACAGACGCTGCATCCTCTTGGTCAATTGTTCCTCTTTGTTATGAAAGATCTCCTGTGTCACTTTTAATGTTTTCACCTGGCGTGAGATCTCACCCATCCATCTGCCCAGTTCTTCCTGACTCGCTGTTTTGGTCATTCTTTTTCTTTTTTTTAATATATATTTTTTTATTGATTTCAGAGAGGAAGGAAGAGGGAGAGAGAGATAGAAACATCCACGATGAGAGTGAATCATGGGTTGGCTACCTTCTGCAAGGCCCCCACTGGGGATCGAGCCCACAACCGGGGCATGTGCCCTTGACCGGAATCGAACCTGGGACCCTTCAGTTCGCAGGCCAACACTCTATCCACTGAGCCAAACTGGCCAGGACTTTGAATGACAAACTTCTTAATGGCCTTGTCCTTGGGCACACATTGGGTGCAGTTGGTGCAACAAATAGGCTCTACATGGCCATGGCCTTTTTTGGTATCACCATTATTCCTTCTCTTCTTGGTACTCCTTCCACTCCTCCGTTAACCCAGCTCTCAAATCCCCAAAATAGTGTTGTATTTTAAATTTCAAACTCCAATTGCTGACTGCTATATCTCCAGAAGTAGACTTGCTGGATCGTATGACAGCAGTTGACTTTTGTAGATTGGTCTTGTATCCTGATAGTTTTCTATATTGTTTGAGTTCCAGTCTTGTTGTTTTTTCTCTTCTTTGAGGTTTTCCACATACATAATCATCTTACCTGCAAACAAAGACATTTTCATTTCTTCCTTCTCAAATCTGTATACCTTTTATTTCCTTTACTTGTCCTATTGCATTGGCTAGAAATTTTGGTGTATTGTTGAATAGGAGTGGTGAGAGAGGATATTTTATTTCTTATTCCTGATCTTAGGGGGAAAGAATCTATTTTCTGACCAGTATGATGTTGCTGTATGTTTTTGTGTACCATATGTTCTTTATCAAGTTGAAGAAGTTCCCCTCTATTCCTAGTTTGATGATTTTTGTTTT